ATTCACATCTATTAGCATCCATGCCAAAAGATTATTTTACAATTATCACATATGTGCACCTCAGTTTTATCTCTTTGTTTTTCAGTTTTTTAAGCTCTTTTGAAGGAGTGACATGTTGGCTCACTGGTTAGCACTGTTGCCTTACAGCAAGAAGGTCGCAGGTTTGACCCCCGGCTGGACCAGTTGGCATTTTTGATTGGAGTTTGCATGTTTTCCCTGTGTTGGCATGGGTTTACTCTGGGTGCTCTGGTTTCCCCCACAGTCCAAAGACATGCAGTAGGTGAATTGAATAAACTAAATTGGCCATAGTGTATGTGTGGATATGCTGGATAAGTTGGCAGTTAATTCCGCTAATGAATAAAGGGACTAAGCCGAAAAAAAAAATTAATGAATTAAGCTCTTTTCACAGATTAAACTATGTAAAGTAGTTTAGTGCTAGATGGATTGGTTGTCATTCTTTATATGCGATTAGCTGGGAGAAAAAAATCTGGAAATGATGCTATCTAAATTATTCCTCTGGGTTGCTATCATTAAAGCTGAGGTGTTGAGTATTCAAAATGTACAGCTATAAGTACCATGCTGTGAACAACCCTTTTAGGTTAAGTCATCAAAAACTATAAACCACTGTGGGAATAATACAGTGACAAAAAGTAAATAATAAAATAAAATCATCATTTGCTATATTATTTTATTTGTTAAAAAACATTTAAGCAAAATGAGGATCTAAAATTGACTACAGGGTATATAAAGGAATCAGAAAGTGAAATTGAATAAGACCTTTAAGATGCCTTTCATACATTTTAAAATCTCATTGCCACTTTGGGTTTCATCCGTTAACATTGGCAACATTTTAACTTGCAGTCTGTTTACAAAATACTGATTATGAGAAATGAATCCTAAACTAAAATATTTATTTACTGAATAAAAATGGGTGGCACAGTGGCTCAGTGATTAACACTGTCGCCCACGGCAAGAAGGTCGCTGGCTCGAGTCCCTGCTGGGCCAGGTGGCATATCTCTGTGAAGTTTGCATGTTCTCTTCATGTTCGCATGGGTTTCCTCCACATGCTCCCGTTTCCTCCACAGTCCAAACACATTAGATGAATTAGGTAAACGAAATTGGCCATAATGTATGAGTGCGTGAGTGAATGCAAGGCGTTTCCCAGTACTAGGTTGCAGCTGGAAGGGCATACGCTGCGTACAACATATGCTGGAATATTTGGCGGTTCATTCGGCTGTGGTGACCCCTGATAAAAAAAAAAGATACCACCCGAAGGAAAAATGAATGAATAAATAAAAATGTTCATCCAGAAGGTGGCGCCTTTAGCAGGAAAAACGGTGTAGCTTTGGTTACGAGGGTAAACAAAGCAGTGTCATGTGAAATCTAGCAGGATTATATTAGATTTAGCCAAACACTAGCATACAACTATACATTGTATAATCAAATATGATACAATATTTATTACCTTAGCATTTACAGGGTTTCTGCAGGCTTCACTAGATTAAATTTAAGACTTTGATACATTTAACACCATTGTGAATAAAATTTTAGACTTATACAGGTCTAAATGCTAAGGATTTTTTTTTTTGAATATCATAGAAAAGTTTTTCACTTGCCTTATCAAAAATGATAAATTTAATACATTTAATAATTATAATTTAGCTTTTTTATTAGTTATTTTGAATATTTTTTTTTATTTAATATTCAAATATATCCATTCACAAACCCTTTAACCCTTACCAAGATTAGGACAAAACATAGCTGTCAATTACTTCAGTCTACAATAATGACAGAACTAAGAAAATTAAAGAAATTAAGGAATTAAGGGGGAAAAAAATAAGAAAAATTAAGACCTGTTAAAAAGAAGATTATAACAAGATATTTAAGACTTTTTAAGGCCTAAAATTTAGCTTTTGAGATTTAAGACATTAAGACTTTTTAAGACCCCACGGATACCCTAATTTAAGACTTTTTAATATTTTTTAAGGGCCTTAAATTTCTCTAAATTGATTTATCAACTTTTAATACATATTAAAAACCCACGGAAACCCCTGTTATTTTGAATACATTACAATTGGAATTGATTTATTTTGTATTTATTTTATGATAATTGTCGATGATTAATAACAGCTTTGGAGGAGATGCAATGAACAAAGCATCATGGACATAATGGGCAAGAAAAAGATTCAAAAGTCAATGTTCTTGATCAAACTATTATATTTAATAACTAAAGCAGTTCAGTGCAATACTCCAGGATTAAACTATTACAATATGAAACTCACAATATGAAACAAAAAGCGATTTACCCTCAAACTGTGTACTGAGTATTCCCAATAAACACTAACAGCAATTCTACATTTTGTTCGACTTGAATCAGCGAAAGTGAAAATAAAAAAGCAGAGCATTTTTACAAAGATTAATGAAAAAAAGGTGTGATACAGTGTGTACAGTTGTCAAGAAGCTTTGACCATGCATAAGTGCACCAGATCTGTGTAGCCCATCACACCCCCAAGTTAGTGAACATGCATTAGTCCAACCTCTCATGCAGCATTCAGCACAACAGCAGGCAGACTGTTCCACTCCCCGAAACAGGGGTGAACTTCAACTTCACAGACCATATTGAAGACAGAGTAAAAAGGAAAGAAGGAAGAATACAGAGGATAAAAGTGAAGATGGCTGATGGGTGTCAGATAAAAATGGCAAAAAGAAAGTGATGAGGAGGAGGAGGATAAGAATAAACCAGATAAAAGGCAGTGATTTATGGCACATATGAAAGGAAGAAATGATGGAGAGAACTCAAAAACGAAGAGCGGGAGGGGAAACGCATTCATCATGCACGGATCTCGCTGTAGATCCTCTGTGAAATAAATAAAAGATGAATGAAATGATGATGACAGACAGCTGAGAGGACCGATGTCTGGCTACATATGACATCAGACATGAGCTGCAAGAAAGAAAGAAAAAAATGAGGTGAATGATGACATGAGAGTGTGTGGAGGACAAGAACGAAAAAGAAGAAACAGCAGAAAAAGACAGGTAGAGGGTGAGTCATCATGCATGCGTTAGCCCCATGCAGAGACAGGAAATGACACTGAGTGACAGACAGGAAATAAGAGGATGATGGGTGGAGGGCAAAGTAATTTCTTACAGAAAACAGATGAAAAATGGAGTGTAAATGAACATGGAATTAAAAAAATAGACAAATACGACAAAGAAAATGAAAAGGTAATGAATAGAGATGTATAAATGAACAGGGAAAGAGGCAAGTAAAAAATAGCAAGGAACTGGGAAGTTAAAAGAAAATGGGAAATGAAAAAGGGAAAAGTAAAATAAGATAAAAAAGATAGAAAATAGGAAAGTAAAAACTAATATGTAAAGGAAACAGAAAAAAACATGGGAAGTGAAAAACAAGGAAATAGAAAGGAGAAAACAAAAAAGTGAAGGTTAAAAAAGGAACTAGGAAGTAAAAAGGAAATTGGAAATGAAAAAGGGAAAAGAAATTTAAAAAATAGTTAAAAGAGAAAAAAGGAAAGGAAACAAAAGAATGTAAAAAGTGAAAATAGGAAATAAAAAGAAGAAAATAAAAAAAGTGAAGGTCAAAAAAAGATTGTTTTTAAATACAAGTTAATAATAATAAAACGAATGTGGGAAGAAAATTGGAAATGAAAAAGGGAAAAGAAAAGAAAAATAAGACAAAAGAGATAAAAAAAAGAAAAAGGAAAAAATAAGAAAAAAGGAAACAGATAAGAATGTGAAAAGTGAAAAGAAAATGGGAAATAAAGAGGAAAATAACAAGTTAATTATAAAATAAAACTGGGAAGGAAATAAGAAATGAAAATATGAAAAATAAATGGAGAAAAAAATGTATATTTTTATATATTCACAAAAAATATAAAGGTTAAAAAAAGTTATAAAAGTACAAGTTAAAATAAAATAAAAATGGAAAAAGAAAAAAAAATGCAAAGGGAAAGAAAAATAACAGAAAATAACATGAAAAACAAAAGTAGATGACATGAAGTAAAAAAAAAGGAAACTGTGAAAAAAAAAAGGTTTAAAAATGACTAGAAATTAACAAAAATATATACATTAGATATTGCATACAGGCCCTAAGCATGTCAAAACCGCCACCACATTTGTACAGTGTTCCCAGGACAAATGTCAACCACACTAGTCAAGACTAAAGCCAATCTAAAGATCCTGGATTTTGCGCGGAGTACAGGTGTAGAAACGATTTATGTTATGAAATTGTGTGCTCAACAAGTAACATTATTGATGATAATAGTCACTTACTGCACTGATCATAAGGCAAAGTAGCACCCACTCACACTAAATACTAGGCCTACTGTATGCTCATTGTGTTTAAGAAAACCAGCAAAAATGTAAATTAAATATGACAACAAGATGCTGATGCCAGAAACTTGAAATCATTGTCAGTTTAGTGAACGAACATTAGTTTTAGAAGTAACTTATAAAGGTGTCTGATAACATAACAATGCATAACAATATATATACATATATACATATATATATATATATACACACACACTGTATGCGTGTGTTTAGTGTATATATCTGTGGCTTCCTAGGGCGGATCTGCCACTGCACCTTGGTCCCATATTCATTTCAAAGGAGTGCTACCCTGTACCAAAATGGCGGCTCTATTGACATTTCTTTCAATAGACAACAATTCATAACATAAACTTCAGTGTAGGCAACATCTAGTGTAAATATCTATAGGAAATTAAAAAGTAAAACAGTAAAAGTTAAAAAATGAACGCAAAAGAAAAAGGTAAGAGAACAGAAAAAGGGGTAGAAAAAGACAAAGGTAAGGAAAAGAAGATACACAAATGAAAATAAATTAAACATGAAAAAAAGTAAATAAATAAAATGGAAAAGGACAAAAAAGAAAACCAGCAGCAGACACTGTGCAGAGAGAATAAGGGAATGGGAGGAATATGCAGAGGAGTTTACAGACAGAAAGGGGGAATTGGGCCCTGTACCTTGTTCCACCAGCCCTGCTGTGGTGCCTGCAGCCGCGGCTACTGCAGCCGCAGCCGCAGTGACCGAGGCGGGAGCCGTGGTCTGCCTGCTACCCACTAACACACAGGAGCGTGTTCATCCATACACACACACACACATACCAACCCACACACAATCACAAACAAAATGAGAGGGAGGAACAAAGAGAGAGAAAGAGGGAAGAGGCAGAATGAAAGAGAACCATTCATTAGTCTATAGGAGAAGAAGCTGTCAGTTATAAGAACACGTCAAACCAATTTTCTTTTTTTTTTTTATTTCTTTGAGAGACAGGTGGCTCGTAACAAAATGATCCCCACTCAGACAAGACCCATACTGTCATTACAACCAACACACAACAAAGACTCAGAGGGAATCAGTCGTACAAATATTCAAAATGCATTCTTTTTTTCAAATGTCCTCTGCTGAACCATCATCTGAAGCGGTTAAAAGCAAAGCCCTGCATCACAGATCAGATCAGAAAGCAGAAAGTGCTGCTGTAACTACTTGAGTTTCCATTAAGAATGCCAGTGAAATAAGAGAAAATTGATAGAGAGGGATGGAGAGATTTTTAAGCCTTCGAATGCATGCTATTCTGTATTATGCATGATATCTGTGACGTCAGAGCTATATGAAAACCGCGAGATGGAGAAGGAAAGGTTGCATGTAGGTGGCAAGTGTAACCTAAATTATAGAGAGAGAGTGGTCCCAAAAAGCACTTACATGTATGAACACTAAAAAATGTCTGAATTTCATTACAACTGACAGCGTTTATTTTTAGTCTAGTTATATTTTAAAATAACAATTAAAAACAAACATGACAAAATTAGATGTCGAAGTAATAATTGATATAAAAAGATTATACCACATTTACAGGACTCTATCTGTGCAATATAATATATTTTGTAAAAAAATCAGTTTTTTGGTCTATAGGAAGTCTATTGGATCAAATGTCAAAAGCATTACTGCATTATTGAATGTTTGAGGTTGTTAAAAGTTATAACTAAATATAATAGATCATAAAAATCAAGTTAGAGATAATCATTTGCAATACAACTATACATTTTCTAGGCTGCATTTACGCTGCAGATCTTGATGGTCCAATTCCGATTTTGAGACTGTACAGGGTATATAATCAGTATAACTAACTTAAACAGTTGTAGTTAAATCAATCAGTGGAGCACAACCATGCAGCAGAACTCAGATAAGCTTGGAAGAAACAAAGCTTTTAATAGAATAAATAACGCGGTTGTTTTCAGCCACTGTTTAAGTTCGTCTTTCTCCAACCAGGAGTACGCAAACTTACATTTTCCCATTTTGCCGTCTGTTTCACTCTATGGTTTGGACACATGTGGAGAGCGTCTCATCACGTTGCCGCATTTGTCGCAAATTACGTGACATCAACAAAACGGAGGAGCTTGGCTGGATGCGGCTGGCCCAAACCAATTGCGTGGATCGAGGAAAATAAATATATTATGGATTTTTAGAACACTTTGGACAATGCTTGAACAAAACTTAAGACCTCGTAAAAACGTGATGAAAACTTTTAATACTTTAAGTAATTTTCTCATAATTGGTTTATCAACTTTTAATACTTTAAGAATTGTATACACCCTGCTGTATACAATTGTTTTGATGACCGGCTTACATCCTTTTTGAAAAAGTGACTCGTATCCGATTGTCTGCATTTACACAGCACATGACAAAGGCAAAATGACCAGGAAAAAAAGGAGTGGGCGCTGACTGACTCCATTTCTGTATTTAATCTGTTCTCAGGGTTTACTTTATTATTATTATTATTTTGGGCAAGTTGTTTTACTATAGTTTATGACAGAAAAGTTCTCATTTGGCCATCTTCCTTTAATCTAGACCTTTTTAAACCAGTAGACATTTTGATGTAATATCCATGGCGTGATTTATGCACGTGAGGTATTGCCTATGCAACAGTTTTATATTAGTTTGGTTATGTGGCAGATGTTGCTCACTCTTCCTCTCTTTTGCTAAAATGCCTAAATACCTGTGCTACTTGACAATATAAAAGCTTTTTTAGTCCTTGTGTATAATATTTAAGGTTTGGGAATCAACTGAAGTTTAAAATGAAAGCCTCAAGAGTTGACATCATTTTCTACAGTTTTTAATGGCACGTGACTCACATTGACAGGTGAAAATCTGATCTACCTGCTTACACTGCAGACACGAGGGCACGGATTCGATTTATATCAGATAAATTTCCACATATGAACAAGGCCTGAATCTGATTCGAGTAAATCAGAATCCATGTGATTTTTTTTTCTGCTTACACATACATGAACCATATTCTATCTGTGCCACATGGGAGAAAAAAATGGAATTGAATCACTTGAACCATGCAGTGTAAATGCAGCCTGTGATTATGAGGAGTTCTCTTGTGGCTAACTGTGCATAATATTTGTAATTTCTACCAACATTACACTCTATTTTACATCCACTGCTCTTTATAAGTGAAATTAGTTTTAAAAAGTCTTTAAAAAATCTGATTTCAGGTATAATTTGATTTAATTATTATTTATATCACATTCATACATTTTAAAAGCAATAAAAGATCATATTTCAGGGCCACACTATCTACACATACTGTATAAACCCTGCATAGAATGGATGATATTGCCAACAAGTATGTATAACTGTGAGTAAAAGGTTTAGAACACAGACATACATTTCTTTAGTAGACAACAAGTAACAAAAGCACATTAAGATGGAGTGGGGATCTAAAAACACACCAGACGATACCCTGGAGAGCCATGGGAACATACACAGAACAGGCCAATCAGAAAACACACAAATCCTGTCAACTCTGCTGTCAATCAAAACAGTTCAAAGGTTAGATTTCAGCTCTGACTCACACAAGTCACTTACCAGAGAAGTTTCGTGACACAAGCATGGTGGTGAGGATGGCGCCCTGTAAATATAGAGGAAACATTACGTACAGTATGTGTGTGTAAAATTAGAATTGAGCGAGTACGAGTGTGTGATCATGAAAACACACCTTGAGTTTCCTCCTGGCGTTAAACTTCTTCAGGCATTCCACTGTCTCCTGTCTGTGCATCATGGAGGCCACAGTGGAGCGTTGCTATAAAAAAAAATAGTAAAGACAGACAAATTAATACGCAAAAGGTTATTAGTATATATCTAGAGCTGCATTCATCTGGTTTTGTGTTCCGTGTCCCTATGTGCACGCTGGAGAATACGTACGCAGACCCATGGGTGTTTGAGAGCTTCCTGTGCAGTAATTCTCTTGGCAGGGTTGATGGTCAGCATTTGATTGATGAGGTTTTTGGCTTCAGGAGTAACTGTGTCCCATTCTGGAGATGGAAACTACGGAACAAATAATAATAATAATTTAAAAAATCAGAATTATTAATATGTCTTCAAAAAATGAGGCTAAAAAAAGTTGCCCAGTCAATTAGAACTGCACTTCAAATAAACACATGAGAGGGCGTCACGGTGACGTAGCGGGTAGCACGATCGCCTCACAGCACGAAGGGTGTTGGTTTGAGCCACAGCTGAGTCAGTGGGAATTTCTGAGTGGAGTTTGCATGTTCTCCCCATGTTGGCATGGGTTTCCTCCGGGTGCTCCGGTTTCCCACACAGTCCAAATACATGCTGCATAGGTGAATTTGGTAAGCTAAATTGTCCGTAGTGTATGTGTGTACTGCATAATGGGAGTGTATGGGTGAAACTTATGCTGGATAAATTGGCGGTTCATTCCGATGTGGCGACCTCTGAATAATAAAGAGACTAAGCCGAAAATAAAATAAATAAATGACACGTGCACAAACTTTTAACTCAAAATAAGTATATCTTGGAAAAAACGTAAAAGAAAATCTATTCTCTCTTTTTCAATAATTGATAAAATTGTCAAAAAGTATCAGTAATTTGAAAAAAAAAACTTAAAGGATAGTTCACAAACAAATGAAAATTTACTCGATCATGTGGTTTCAAATCTTTATAAAGTTACTTTTTTTCTGCAGAACATAAAATTTAACATTCTAAAGAAAGCTGAAACCACTGACTTCCACACAAGGAAAAACAAATACTGTGGAAGTTAGTGGTTATTGATTTCTATTTTTATTCAATATTTTAATTTGTGTTTAAAATGAAGAAAGTCAAATAGGTTTTGAACAACTGAATGGTGAGTAAATGATGACTATTTTCATTTTTGGGTAAACTATCGCCTAAAATTTCAATTATAAGCACACAGAGCAAAACCTTTCCTATTTTTTCAGACATATTATCCTTTCGTTGATTACCTGAGAACTTCAAAGTCACTAAGACTAAAAGCATTTCTTTAAGACTGTCTAAACATGAGAAATGCAATCTGCCTTTCTGTAAAATTATTTTGTTTATTATGCCCTTATTTATTTTTTGATTATTTAATTACAATTTAATTATTTTTATTATAATTTTTCAAGTGGAGTTCAGGATTTGAATTATATGAATGACGTATTGACCTTATTCTTAAGTACGGAAGTGTGCCTGTTGTCGCGATTGTCTTAGAACATCCGATTCAGTCGCCTATGGGAAAAATGACTATGAATAATAAACGGCAGAAAATGGTCAAACTACTTGCTCTACAAACAAATGTTTGCATGACTACACAGACCAAGTAGAATAATATAATAAGAAAATATCAAATTGCAACATCAAGCAGTGTAACAAGCAGTTTTTAATGTCAAAAAAAAAGAATGGAAGTGAATGTGACCGGAAGTTGCGAGACAAAAAGATTCAAATGGCAGCGCCCGCTCGTCGGCGGAGAATAAGGTGAATATTATTTTATTAATCAATGTAAATTTCTGATATGTTTTTGCGGTAAAAACGTTAGCATACACAAATACATTTTAAAGAAATGATAAGCACATGATCAGAGACTATAAGCTTAAAATAAAACAACATAAAATCTTACTGTGGTATTCTGGACTTGTTATTAAAGGGCTTTTTAGAATGTAAAAATAAAAAATAGTTTATCGTCAATATATTTCTTATTCCATAATAGTATATTTTCATCAAAAGTTGTGACTTCTTTCCTGGAATTCGAAGGAATATTAAACTAGACAGACCTGTACCAGCAGCAAGGTTCAAACACATGATTTTAAACATTATTTGAACTCATTGCGTCGCTGGAGCTTCTCTAAAAAAAAAAAAAACATCTCCTGCACTCATGTAACATTCATAAGACAGATATGTTGCACAAGCTGGATAAAATGGGAACATCAAAATGTCACAAGTGCATCTCAAAAGTCAAGATAGGACATGTGTTAGAGAAGCAACTGTATATTCATGAAGTGCATACTTGAAAAACAATGAGAGCAAATGTTAATCAGTACTATAAGTGATTGTGATAGGAAAGAAGATGAGGAAGAAAAAACAACCACAAAAGAAGTACAAAACTGGTTCAATACTCACATCGTAAGCTCCAGCTTTGATCTGTTGGTAAAGTTTGTGCTGATCCTCGTCCCAGAAAGGTGGATATCCAACCAGCAGAATGTACAGAATCACACCTTCAATTAAAAATTGGAAAAATATATTTTTAAATAAATGAAAAATTCTAATGATCGCTATAAGCAGCTATTTTAAGGCTGTTTCAGACACTTTAGGCAAGCTAAATGGTGCTGCCAGCTAATATAATTGGAGTCATATTCAAGAAAAAATTATAAAACAAATGTGGTCGCAGAGCTTCTGTGCTGTTGTTTGCTAGTAGGCTTAATTGGCGCTGTGCAGGTCAACTGAAAATAGTCACTCTCATTGAAAATGAATGGCTTCCTGTCTTTGGAAATCTGTGCCTGTCCTTTTCCTGTGTAAACATTCATTTAGAACCCTGGTGGAAAAAAGCTCTTAAACCTAGCCTTAAATTGTTCTTTTATAAGGCACTTTTAAAGAAAACAAATTATGTACAAAGTGCTGTAAAAGCAAGTGTCCAAAATCCCTGCTAAAACAAACCAGCCAGCCCAAAAAAGAAGAGAATGGAAAACCAACTTTAGCTAATAAGACCAAAAGTTGTGCTAGACTTCATTTTTGTAAAAAAATTCTGCAATAATCAACGATATTTTATGTGTAGTGATATTTTACATAACACAGACTAGCCTGGTTTCCATGACACATTTGCACAAAACTTTTGCATTGTCTTTTGAATGGGACGTCAAAATGATGCCATTTCCACCAACCAATGTTATGCGATAAAAAAAAAAATCATTTTGTGATAAGTCATCACAAAAATATAACAACGAATGTTGGTAGTTTTATATTTATCAGCCACATAAAAAATTATTTGTACTCCAGTGAAATGTTTTTTTTTTTTTTGTGCTGTTTAGTGAAGAGAATTTTTAACACTTAAAATAACAGTTTTAATAAGTGATTTTGATTATTAATTTCTTTGGTCTTAGGTGTTGAGAATACATTATATTTTACTAGTTATTTCTCAAGATACTAGTATTCAGCATAAGTGCAATTTAAAGGCTTAACTAGGAAAATTAAGTTAAATAGACAAGTTAGTTTAATTAGGCAAGCCATTGGACAAACGGCTAATAATATTCACTTTAAATAATTTTTTTAAAATTCTTTTTTTTTCCAGCCAAACTAAAAGAAATAAGACATTCACCAGAAGAACAAAAATATTATAGGAAATAATGTGGAAAAACTAAATAAATTTGGGCATCAAGAGAAAACACAAAGCAGACAGCTCTCATTTCGATTTATTTCTTAAATATTTGCAAACCATGTAGATTAACAGAGATATTGAACTGTGGCGAGTGAGAGGTACTGCAAGAATGGTATGTAAATGTTGCTGTGTATTTGATAAATGTGTCAAGTACTGTATTCTTGACACATTTGTACTGTTGTCTTTGGCTTTTTGTCCTCTGCTGCTATCAGTCTGTTCTTTTTTTTTTTAACTGTATTTTATGTATGAAAGTGTATTTAATGTTTAATGCTTAGCTTCTATTTTAGGTGTGACTTTTTAACATTCTGTAAGGGGTCTACAGATGAAAACTAGCCATTCTTGGCTAATTCTGGCACAGTAATGTTTATTAATGTGCATTGACCCTGTAAACAATTAAACTAAACTAAACTATTTGTGCAGCACTAGTTTTAAAACCTCTAAGCCAGGGGTGTCCAAACTCGGTCCTGGAGGGCCGGTGTCCTGCAGTTTTTAGTTCTAACCCCAATTAAACACACCTGAACCAGCTAATCAAGCTCTTTCTAGGTATACTAGAAACTTTCAGGAAGGCGTGTTAAAGAGAGTTGGGAGCTAAAATATGCAGGACACCGGAGTTTGGACACCCCTGCCCTAAGCTATATTTCTTCAGCAGGAGTGGTGGAGAGTTGAGTAGACCTTTTTTGATTTTGGAGCACAACACAGAGACCTCATGTTGCCCTCATCACAAGGAGCATGTGCTTGTCACTGCATTTGAGTTTATTTACCACAGGCCCAGATGTCCACTGGTTTGCCATATGCCTCCTTTCTCAGCACCTCGGGGGACAGGTAACCTGGTGTCCCGGCAAATCCTGTACGACACAGTCAAGCACACATAATTTGACATACTATACTCTATAAGGTAAAAGTAAGGTAAAATCATGTAGGAGCATCGCTCCATGCAATGTAGATTACATACCAAACCATGCCTGCTGGTCTCCCTGCACCTCAATGGCCAGTCCAAAGTCGGCCAGCTTCACAGCAGCGTTCTTGCATTTACTGGCCAAGAGCAGATTCTCTGGCTGAGGGGAAAATGAAGACAACATTTCTCCTGCCTTAAACACACTCACAAAAACAGACTCTCTGTGCATGCTGACACACTCCACAAGAATAGACCATCAGGTATCCATGTTTCTAGCATACACTCAAAGAATAGATTTTGCTGTTTGATCAAACTACATACAGCACAATTCTTGCGTTTTTTTTTTTTGGGACAACTTAATTGTTTTATGTTTAATCCACTTAAATTTGCTGGTTTGTGTTGGGACAACATAACTGAATTGTGTGGAACCCTGCATTTTCTTACGGTGTAAAACTAGCGGCCATTTAACATTGCTGATTTATACTGATTCTAGGAAATATTTGTTGAATATTGGGTTTAGAGAACTTTGAGAGCACGATGCTGCAGAAAACACTGTGTTTGTCTTGAGCGGTAAGAAGGGAATGCGTGAGTGCGCGTGTTTTCCTCCCAACTGACCCAGATTATCTAGCCTCATTATTCTCTGTCACTGATGGATGCTAATAATGTGATATCCCCTCAAGTGCCTGTGATGCTTCCACTAGCACAGGCTTGACACCATCTTATAAATCATAATGCTAGCAACTCTATAAATGCAGGCTAACAAACCGAATACACACCAGTCTCTCACACACATACACACACCTTAAGCACTGCACCAGATATTCAAATCTCAAACAGATTTCCCTGCATTGCAGTGTCTGGAGGATCTAACATCTACTTCCCTCACTCTTGTTTTTCACATTGTCGACTGCAAGTACAACGACCAAAGAGCTACACTGTAAAAAAATATCAGTAAGTTAGCAGTGATTCATGTTTTTATTTTTCACGTTTTTTTATGCATTTAAATTGCATGTTGGGACCTAGATTTTTCTTCCAACAACTTTTAACCTTGAGGAAAAAAAGACTTTTAGTAACATTTTTAATAGTTTAAAGAGATATATTGTCTGGGTTATTTAACATTTTTCTGTTATTTTACAGACTTGTTGCTCTCTATATTAGCTGTTACACACAATATTATTTCCAACTACTCAAATGTCAATAAAAGTCACTTTGTCGTATAGTTGAATATTCAACATCAATAGTCAACAGAGCAGAGATCAAGCTCCCATAATTCAATTCACATAGGTAAATAAACTAATTTTATAGTGCATGATGGAAAAAAACATGTACACTGCTGTCTAAACACCATGTGATTATAAAACTATAATTTAAAAACATATACATACACACACACATCTACACACACACACACACACACACACACACACACACACACACACACACACACACACACACACACACATATATATATATATATATATATATACACACACACACACACACACACACACACACACACACACACACACACACACACACACACACACACACACACACACACACACACACACACACACACACACACACACACACACACACACACACACACACACACACACACACACTTTTTTTTCAACGTTCTGTAAAATAAGCTAATAATAGGTGTGTGAATGTATATTTAAAAGTATTATTTGTATATTTGTGTGTGATTCTGTTGTTTTTTAGCCTATTTATACGAGACTTCACGTTATTTATGTTTTACAATTCCTAAATACCTTGATTTTTGTGTACAACATATATACAGGTTTACAAAATGCTATCCTAATTACCTTGAAATTAAATATTTTGATCTCACAAGTTTTGTTCATTTTCTTCTCTTAGTCCCTTTATTAATCAGGGGTCACCACAGCGGAATAAACTGCCAACAACTTATCCAGCACGTTGTTATGCAGCAGATGCCCTTCCAGCTGTAACCCATCACTGGAAAACATCCATACACATTCACACACACTGGACACACTTTAGCTTACCCAATTCACCTACCCCACGTCCTTGGACTTGTGGGGGAAACCGGAGCACCCGGAGGAAACCCACGCAAATACAGGGAGAACATACAAACTCCACATAGAAATGCCAACTGACCCAGCTGAGGCTCGAACCAGCGACCTTCTTGCTGTGAGGCGACAGCACTATCTACTGCGCCAACGCCTCGCCCTCATAAGTTTCAGTGACAATTCATTTTATAGAACTTTTAAAGCTGTAGATAAACAAAGTGACTTTTACTGAGATTGTTAGTTTGAAACTATATATTGTTTGGGCTGATCATGAAAACTATGGTACAAAAAGTGGGCAATGAGTATATTTATAAAAACTACCAGACAAAAGTCTTGTTGATCCTAGTTGTAATAGCAACAAACAATAAGTTGACTTCTAGTTGATCATTTGGAAAAGTGGCAGAAAGTAGATTTTTCTGATGAATCATCTGTTGCACTGCATCCCAATCATGACAAATGCTGCAGAAGACCTATAGGAACCCGAATGGACCCAAGATTCTCAGAGAAATTGGTCAAGTTTGGTGAAGGAAAAAAACATGGTTTGTTCCACATCAAAGTTCCTGAAAGCAAAGAAGGTCAAGGTGATCCAGGATTGGCCAGCTCAGGCACCAGACATTAAACTTAATGAGCATGTCTGGGGTAAGATGAAGGAGGAGGCATTAAAGATGAATCCAAAGAATTTTGATAAAATCTGGGAGTCCTGCAAGAATGCTTTCTTCGTCATTTCAGATGACTTTAATAATTAATTATTTGAGTCACTGCAGAGATGTATGGATGTAGTCCTCCAAGCTCATGGCAGTCATACACAATATTAACCCTTCTTCCACTGCACCATGACTTTATATTCTATACTGTACATTATTTCTGTTAAGTGACAAGACTTTAGTCTAAGCAAAGTCAGGCCTCACTGTCCTAATTAAATAATTAAAAATCAACGCATAATCATTTTTTATTTTGGTAAAATAAGCATAATCTAAAGGCCTTTGCCTTTCATATAAGTCACTTCTGATTCAAAATGATCAACTAGAAGTCAAGTTATTATTTGTTGCTGCTAAAACTTAGACAAGTCTTTTGTCAGGTAGTGTAAATATATATTTTTGTTATTTTACAGAAGCATTTCTTATGCATTCAAAGTAATAAATGCATCTATAGATTGCAATGCAGAGCCAATTTGGCACATTTATTTTTATTCAATGAGTATCTACTTTCATTGTTATCGCTGTTCCATAATTCTTTTACAAAATCACCCCAACAACAACATCTAGATTTTGTCTCCATCTCCTCCGATAAAGAATAGAAAAGTAGAGTGCTGCCAAAAAATACTAATATTAAAAACGAAGAAGAAAAAAAGCAAAAGAAAAAGGAGGTTAAACATGCACGCTGCTGAGGGCTGGAACACCGGGAGCTAATCCCAGCCTTAAAGCTCAGTGGTGGGAGGAATTTTGATGAACAGCACCCTCTGAGAGCAAATCTAGCAAAGAAGATCTGCCAAAAAGCTCTCTCCAGCACTATTTCATGAACGCATAACCTCTGCAGTAAAATCCATAGCTTGACTTCCGCACTAAAATCTCTCCATCATGTGCACAGCTAAAGTACATGTTTACATGTGTACGCTGATAACCACACACACACACATACACATGGTAAACTGGTTAAATTGGTTAAGCTCCCTAGTTTAGCATGTCTATTTTTGTGTCCGTTTATGTGTGTGCTGCTCTTTTCTGCAGTGGCTTTCCTGTCATGCCTACTCAGATTCCTGCTGTGGAGAAGCGTGTGCCCCAAGCTTCCATTTAAAAGGGCACTCCAGTGTGGGCAGACACTGATAGCGTGAAACCAGAGTGCTGGTACTGTCAGAGTCGAGTATGAAGCTGACCGCAGCAACACCGTTTAGAGCTTTCACCTGATTTCTTTTTCTGGAAACTGCTACACTTACAACTGAAGTTTAAATCAGATCTATACCAATACATTATGTTGTTTCTGTACATTTTCTAAATAGAATAGTTGATTTGAGTAAAATTCATTTTGAAAAGCTGAAATGGCTCTGCATCTACTTAGCTAGCAATACTGTACTTAGATCAGCCATGATACTTGAGCATGATGTGCCTGAATTGAACCAAAAAGCACCAAAATTGATGCTAAAGTATATGAATAAACAATTTAAGTCATTTTGATGCCAAATTTTACAACATCTGATTTTAAAAACATAATTTGTATAATAGAAGGCATCGGGAAAAGTAAATAAATAAATAAAAATCTACAACACTTTAATGAAATGCTGCAATTATGTAAAGTTTAATCAGCTAAGAGGTCAGGTAGTGATGCATTGATCTACTCACAAGTGCATAATTCATGAAACTGCTGAATGTAGTAAAATTTGAAAGAACATATTTTATGTTTTCTCCTCAGAGCAAAGACTACACTGTGTTTCTTCAATGAAAACCTTTTAAAGAATAATATTGGTGGATTAATAATTAGTTCAGATTTCAGCATCTGGCAGCAAAGTATATATAAAAGACATATATATCAGGATGTAACGTTGACTGTTCAGACTCAAATAATTAAAGCATACAATACAAAGTGCATAATTTTTTCAAATCACTATAAAGGATTTGTGCGTTCTGAAGAAAACCTGCAGATAAACATGTGATATAACATTACAGATACACAGTTCAAAAACCACTTTCACATGCAAATGAGACAAAGACGAGACAAACATGCAAAACTTTAAAAAAACAATTTCTATAATCATTACAACAGAAAAACATGCAGCATTCATTCTGAAGCACTTTCCAAGCATCACCCTTTTCCACTAACAAACCGCAAAGCATTAATTACATGTCCACACAGAAGGCATAGGCGCTTCTTGGCAGTCAAGATAAGCAGGCTAATTTATGAGCGGCGCTTTGCTCTGTAATCAAACTGCAAAAGCATGCTAGGTAGCGTGACATTAGTCGAATTATATCTAGGAACAACATTTCCCAGAAGCACGCTGCATTTTAGAGGAAGTCAAAGGTCAGAAGGGAGCAGTCAAATACCATTACGGTGCACTCAAACCTGGACATGATGACTGGTCTGGGACCCTGATGTCTACACTGACTCTCTAAGA